AGAGATTAACCTAAGAACTTATATGCATATATGCATAACCCATTGGACACAGACAATAGTGTGGTAAAGTCCTGAGGGGAGGGGTGTAGGATGGAGGGGATCAATGGGGGAAAAAGGGTGATATTTGTAATACTTTCAACAATAAAGATAAATTAAAAAAAAAAAAAAAAAGTAAGCATGTGAAGAGATGCCCAGCATCACCAGTTGTAGAGAAATGCAAAGCAAACGATGAGGCACCACTTCCCACACAGTATTAGGATGACTATTAAAAAAAAAAGAAAATAATGTTTCAAGGATGTGGAGAAACCTGAACCTTGTGCACTGTTTCTGGGAATATAAAATGGTGCAGCTGCTGTGGAAAAGTGGATGGCAGTTCCTCAAAAAGTTAAACGTGGAATTAGCATATGATCCAGCAGCTCTACTTCTGGGTATATACCCAAAGACCTCAAAACAGGGACTTGGACAGACACTTGTGCACCAATGTTCAGAGCATTAGTTTCAATAACCAAAAGGTAAAAACAGCCCAAAATGTGGTGAAGTTCTGACAGAGGCCACAACACGGTGAATCTTGAAAACATTATGCTAAGTGAAAGAAGCCAGTCACAAAAGGGCAAATATTACCTAATTCTATGAGGTCCCTAGAATCACCACCTAGGTTAGAGGTTGTCAGGGCCTGGGGAGAGGATGGGGAGTCACTGCTTAATGGGCACAGAGTTTCTGTTCAGGGCAATGAAAAGTTTGGGAACAGTGGTGACTGTTGCCCAACATTGTGAATGCACCTAATGCCACAAAACTTAAAAATGGTAAACTTTGTTATGTGTATTTTACCACAATTTTTAAAAAAGGGTTATATATAATTGTCCTCCTCCTTAAAGAGTATATTGAGAGAACCTTTTTGATTACTGTACAGGCTTCTCCTTTCCTTGTCTCTAATAACTGTTCTTTGAACCTGGCTGCACGCCCCTGCTAACTGGCCTTTACCCTCTTCTGAGTGGCATGGGCACCTGTCAGAGCTGCACTGTGACCAGTGATTTGCCATTTCCCTCCCACCTTGCACCACATGTTTGTTGAGAGCAGGAGGCTTCAGGGGACCTGTGAGTTTCACAGGTGGGTGCCTGCAGACATGGGAGGGCTGTGTGTGGGGCTCAGTGCTGCATGCTGACTGATCTCTCTCCAGAGCCGACTACTGTCCTGTTTCTCCATAACCTGTGTTAGAACTTAAACGAAAAGAAGTCGTGATTGCTTCGAAATGCTGAAGGACAGTGCCCATGTCAGGCATCGACAGCTGCAGGGGTTTGGGGTGTTCCTGAGCACAGGGTTGGGAGGAAAGTAACAGTAAAAATCATCCCTTCGTGCTAGGATGCTACATTCTACCTGCAGAGACAACACAAGTCCTTGAAAAGAGAAGATCACGACAAGGTCACAGAAGTGACTCATCAAGGAAGTGGCATAGAAATCAGTGCCAGAGGCTCTGGCTGCTGTGGCTCAGTGGCTAGAGTGTCGGCCTGTGGACTAAAGGGTCTCCGGTTTGATTCCAGCCAAGGGCATGCACATTGGTTGCAGGTTCGATCCCCAGCCCGTTGGGGCGCATGCGGGAGGCAACCAATCGATGTGTCTCTCTCACATCGATGTTCCTCTCTCTCTCTTATTCTCCCCCTCCCTTCCACTCTCTCTGGGAAAAAAATATATATATATCAGTGCCAGAGGCAGAGCTGAGAACAACTGCAGGGCTGAGTCCAAGCCCTGGGGTTCAGCACCAAGAGCAGGAAGAAAGCAGGAATCAGAAGTTGGCAGGGTAGATACCAGTTGGTGTGGCTGTGAGCAGGACTGGCACGGGGAAGGCAAGGAGCTCCAAAATGAGGCTGGGTCATGCCCACGGGGCTCCTGCCACTCTCATGTGGCTGTTGGTTGCCTCACAAGTGACACTGAGGCCAGGTCCCAGAGTTGAACTGGGAAAGGCCTCAGCTCACTCAGAAGCCACACTGTACTAGGCTTGGCAGGTTGACAAAACAAACTGTGCTGAGGGAGCACAGATGCGGCATCCAGGTCACCCACTGGACACCACACTCCAGCCCCAGGCTCTTGCACCAAGACTGTCCCACTTACTTTTCTGGGTAAGGCTCGAAGGACTCGTCTGAGGACTGGGTATTCTGCTTCTTGTCATTGTTGTCTTCACTCAGGAAGTCCCTAGGACAGAGAGAGAGAACCTTTAGCAAAGCCCTGGGGTGGGTGACAGATCCCATGCAACTTCCTGTCTAAAGATACCACAGGGATCCCCACATTCCGTGTTTTAATTCTCCTGAAAAGGTCTTAAGAAACCTAGAATCTCCAAATCTCTGATCCCATCTCCTAATGGAATGCTCTCCTCACACCGGGACCCCAAATTCAGAAGGAGCCTCTCCATGGGCGCCCCAGGTGGGTGTGAAGACCCTCACAGGCAGTGGGATTCTGAGTAACTGGATGCTCAGAACATCACCTCATCCTACAACTGAGCACCTGTCAAGCCTACAGGTCAGCTGTCAGTCATTTCAAAGGTCACAAAAGCTAGAAAAGGCTCTGTACTGTATAACCTTCACCCTGAAGTATGAATCACTATTCACTCTCTGTTGGCGCACCCTGGACTTCCCCTGGGGTGCCACCCGTCAGACAGAGAATGGCTCGAGGCTGGCTGGTGACCTGCAAGACAGCCCTCGATCACTCCTGGTCCCAGGGATGTTTCTAGTACACACGGGTTCTTCCTGAACCTTGGTTATTGGCACCCCACTGGAGTTGCACTAAAAACTGTCCCACTCTATGGATGGTGCATCTGCCCTCTGTTCCAGCCACAGCTTGTGGGGGTAGGGCAGAGAGGTGTGAGTGGTTTCTGGCTTAGCGGCAGAGAGTAGCCCAGGCACGGACAGCCCCAAGTCACACTCATGTCATGACAAAGGGCCAGAAGCTGACTTCCTTTGCTCTAGGACCATGTGGGGTCAGCATAGAACTAAGGCCTTGAAGGAGGAGACAAGCGGCAGCAGCAGAGGATGCCCACGAGACCCTCCCAGGAGCTCCACACCCAGGTCCTGCTGCCTGGTAGCTGCATCAGAGCGGGGTATCCTCTGGGACCTAGGAAGCCCCAATCAGGACTGAGAAGCCTGGAAGCACCCCTGGCCAGGACATGGGCAGCAAGCCCCTAGGATGGTAGAGTTTGGCTTTCCAAGGAGAAATTTTAGGCTGTTTAAACCCACTCTTCTCTCACCCCTCAGAAAGGTCACTGAACTCGTCTTTTACCCGATCATCCGAGGTTGAAGATGGAAACTGCTTCTCACCCAACTGCCCTGAGAAACAAAGAACAAAGCTCCTGTTACCAATGCAACGTGTAGGCAGGGCTCCCGGCAAGGAGCCCTTCCTTATGGGGGAGCCTGGGGTCCTCCAGCCTCAAATTCTACCCACCACTCAACTCTATCCCCTGCAAGGTCCAGCACTGCTGAGCCCACCGGGCTACCCATGTCCAGCATAGGCACAGGCAGTGCTGAGTACCAGAAAGTCAGCTGAAAGTCAGCCTCAGCTGCCCAGCCCCTCCCCAGGGGTTCAGATCCAGTCGTTTCAGGGTGGGACGACTCACACTTCATGGATGTTTCAGGACATTTAAAAAAATCATTGTTGCCCTAGCCGGTTTTGCTCAGTGGTTAGAGCATCGGCCCACAAACTGAAGGGTCCCAGGTTTGATTCTGGCCAGGGCACATGCCTTGGTTGCAGGCTCCATCCCTGGCCCAAGTACGGCACGTGGGGGAGGCAACCAATCGATGTCTCTCTTTCACATCGATGTTTCTCTATCTCTCTCTCCCTTCCATTCTCTCTGAAAAGCAATGGAAAAAATATCCTCAGGTGAGGATTAAAAATAAATAAATAAATAAATAAATAAATAAATAAATAAATAAATAAATACATCATTGTTATCAAAGTATTGCATGCACAGTTTAAGAAGCCATGCAGCTTAAGGACCCTGGGACACAGTCCCTGCTCCCTCCCAGCTTCTCAGCACCTCCACCTCTCCTGGCCACCTTGGGAGCTGCACGTTCTGAAAGTGCCACAGAGGGCTGGCTCCCAGGAGCGCAGAGTCCACATGCAGAGCGTGCACGTGGCAGCCGACAGGCCCTCCTAACATGACGTGCGTGAACAGCTGCTCCATACCCATGGTGCTCAAACCAGGGCCTGAGTTTCCCTCACCACTCAGCAAAGGAGCCTGTCCACACTAGTCCCACTGAGGCATCACTAGGGCTCTGGCTGAGGCCCAGGAAGTGACCCGAAACAGCCTCAGAGACCCCAACCGTCCCCTCCCCCCATGTCCCACAAGTGCCCTGTTCTCTCCCTTGGCCCGAGTGAGCAAGCCCTCCAGACACTGCTGGCATGGGGTTCTCAGCCCTCCTTGCTGCCAGGTGCCCACACGACACCACCACCACTTTCCACACGTGCAGACTTCCACTTCCTGCTGAGGGCCCTGCTGGCTCAGGAGTAGGAATCCTGGTCTAACAGCCCAAAGAAGCCTCCTACCTGGAGCTCTACTTGGGGGGAGGCTTGACTGAGGCAGGAGGCTCGGCCCAGGTCCCACAGGGTTGCCATCTGAACGAGGCTGGGCCAGGTCTGTGCTGGGCAGTGTCTCTGTCTCGGCCCAGGCCGTGGTCGCTCTGCCCTGGGAGCTCAGAGGGGCAGCCCCAGTGGGGTTGGACCTCCGATGCTGGGTGAGCTGTGGGGCCATCTCCTTGTCCCACGTCCACTTGACTGCCAATGCACTGTCCAGCAAGAGAGCCCCGCAGCTAGAGTTGGCATCCATGGTATAGTCGTGGCCTTGGTCGCAGCTCCACACAGCCTGGATGACACCACAATACTCGGAGGACAGCGTCCTCTGGAGGCTGGGCAGGGCTCCACAGCTGGCCGCGTGTCCATGTACCCACCCCACCAAGCCGCGCAGACTTTCGGGGCTCAATGTGATCAGGTCCACTGAGGAAAGGCACATAGACAGCAGCCCTGTGGCTGGTCAGCACCAACCCCACAGGAAGCCCACCCACACAACACACACCACATACAGGGGCACTCACCCAGACACGCTCCCTCCTCCGCCTCTTTCGGGGGCTGGGCACCCACCCTGCGAAGGATCAGCATGGCCATGAGTAGGGTACTGCAGCAAGCAGGGGGCAGGCTTGCTCCCTTCACTGGCCTTCTCCCACATGCGGGCTGCCCCTGCCCCTCCCTTCATGGGTGTCTCCTTACACTCAGAGCCATCGTGGCCCTCACCTCCCACACCATTTGCACTGGGGCTTGCACACATCTGCTGTACCCGCACCATGGCCTCCCTCCCCACTGCACAGGTTCCCACCAGGCACTTCCTGTGCAGAGAACAGCACAGCACACGGGGCTTAACCTGAGCACCCCCAAATGAACGAAGGAGGGAGCACCTACTGTGTGCAGGGCTTCCGGGGGCCCATCGGGGACATGTTGACTCTCTGCAGGAAGGACTTGAGGAGGCCATGGCACTGATAGAACTGGGCATGGCAGTTCTTGCAGACAAACTGAGACAAAGCTGGATCCTGGTGGATGGCCACCCCCAGGAGGTGCTGGAAGTCCCTGATGAAAACACGCTCCCCTGAGGGTGGTCTCTCTGAGCTCTGCCCAGGTGCCCGGCCAGAGATGCTGCGGAGACTCCGTGCAGAGAATCTCCCGTGGCAGAGGCGGCAGTGACCCATGGAGAGAGCCCGGCCTGTTCCTGGGCAAGCACAGGAGATCTTAGGTCAGCCAGCGAGGCTGCCTGCTGCACAGGACATGCAAGACACAAGCTCCAGGTGGAGCCATGTGGCCCCAGGGGAGGTGAGGCCCATGCTCTGCCAGCCTCCCAGCTCCTCAAGTGGACAAGAACACTCCATGGGGCCGCCCTAGACACACCCCTAAAACAAGCCCATGTCTGGGCCAAAGGCTGGGCTCTGGCTCTGGGCTCCCAGCTGAACATATGGCCTTTGGGAAGATCTGGTCAGTGGAAGACTTTCTGGTCCAGAGAACCTTTCAAAGAATTCTAAATGCCTCCACAACAAGGCCAGCACTGCAGTGAGACCAAAGTCAGACAAGGACAAAGGTACCTACCGGCCAACACCCTTTGTGAACACAGATGCAGAAGCCCTCACAGAGCACGAGCAAACCAAATTCCACAAGACATGAAAGGGTCACACACCATGACCCAGTGGGATTAATTCCAGGGATGCAATGACAGTTCAGCATCCACAGGCCAATGTGATCCACCACACTAACAAAACAAAGGATAAAGCACATGCAATCATTTTGGCAGGTGCAGAAAATGTATCTGAGAAAGTTCAACATCCATTCGTGATTAAAAAACAACCCTCTCATCAAAGTGAGCACGGAGGAAACATACCTCGACATAATAAAGGCCATACATGACAAACCCAGAGCTAACATCATACTCAACAGTGAAAAGCCGAAAACTTTCCTCTCAGATCAAGGACAAGACAAAGACGTCCCCTCTTCACAACTTCTATTCAACCTAATATTGTAAATACTAACCAGAGCAATTAGGCAAGAAAAACAAATAAAAGGCATCCAAATTGGAAAGAAAGCAAAACTGTCTGTATTTACAGACATCATATTATGTACAGGAAACCCTAAAGGCGTCTCACACACACACACACACAAATACTTGTTAGAACTAATAAACAAATTCAGTAAAGTCAAAAGATACAAAATCAATATGTAAAGTCAGTTGTAACAAACTATCAGAAAGAGAAATTAAGAAAACAACCCTATTTTCAATTACATCAAAAAGAATAAAATACCTAGGAATAAATTTAACTCAGCTGGTGAAAGACCTGTACACTGGAAACTGTAAGACGATGATGGAAGAAACAGAAGACACAAATAAAAAAAAAGTTCTATGAATTTGAAGAATTCACATTGTTAAAATGTCCACAATACCCAAAGCCATCTAAAATTCAATATTATCCTTATCAAAATTAAAATAGCATTTTAAAAATCGACTTTTAAAGTGCTATTTGGGGGGGAGGGGAAAGAAACGTCCATTTATTGTTCCACTTATTTATACATTCGTTGGTTGATTCTTTTTTTTTAATCCTCACCTGAGGACGTTTTTCACTGATTCTAGGGAGAGAAACATCAACGTGAGAGAGAAATATCGATCAGTTACCTTCCCTAGGCACCCTGACTGGGAATCGAACCTGTGACCCTTCAGTGTTCAGGACAATGCTCTAACCAACTGAGCCACAACGGCCAGGACTGGTTGATTCTTGTATGTGCCCTTACAGGGGATTGAACCCATAACCCCGCTGTACTGGGACAATGCTCTAACCAACTGAGCTACCCAGCCAGGTCCAATAACATTTTTTGAAATATGTTTTTATTGATTTTAGAGAGAGGAAGGGAGAGGGACAGAGAGATAGAAACATCAATGAGAGAGAAACATGGATCAGCTGCCTCCTGCACGCCCTCCACTAGGAATCGTGCCCTGACCGGGAATCAAATCGGTAACCTCTTGGTTCATGGATCAATGTTCAACCACTGACCTACACTGGCAAGGCTCCAACAGCATTTTTAACTAAATAGAACTAACAATCTTATAATTTATATGGAACCACAAAAGATCCCAAATAGCCAAAGCAACCTTGAGAAAGAAAAACAAAGCTGGAGGCATCACAATTCCTTATTTCAAACTTTATTACAAAGCTAAAGTAATCAAAACAGTATAGCATTGACATAAAAATAGACACATAATGGAAGAATAGAGGGCCCAGAAAAAAACCCACGCATACATGGTCAATTAATCTATGACAAAGGAGCCAAGAATATATAATGGGGAAAGGACCGTCTCTTCAATAAATGGTGTTGGGAAAACTGGAAAGCCACATGCAAAAAAATAAAACTAGACCACTGTCTTATCCCATACACAAAAGTCAACTCAACACTGCTTAAAGACTTGAAAAGCCTGACACCATAAGATGACTAGAAAAAAACATAGGCAGTGAAGTCCTCGACATTTATCTTGGTGATGATTTTTTGGGTTTGACACCAAAGCAAAGGCAACAAAAGCAAAATTAAGAGGAACTGCATCAAACTAAAAAGCTTCTGCACAGCAAGAAAACTATCAACTAAATGAAAAGGCAACCTACTGATTGGAGAAATTATTTACCAATCATATACCTAAGGGTTAATATCCAAAACATACAAAGAACTCATACAACTCAATAGCAAAAAACACATACAACCTGATTTTAAAATGTACAGAGGATCTGAATCAACATTTTTCCAAACAAGACATACAGATGGCCAACAGGTACAGTAAGTCCTCACTTAATGTTGTCCTCAGGCTCTTGGAACTGTGGTGAAACAACATACAAGGAAACCAGTTTTACAAAAAGCTAAGTGATATAAACACGAGTTAAGTTCCTATGGTATCTTGTCGAATTTGTAACAAAACTATGCTGATGAAACAATGTTATTCAAGAACCTGCTGTATATGAAAAAGTGCCCAACATCACTAATTATCAGGGAAACGCAAATTAAAACCACAATGAGATCCCACCTCATACCTGTCAGAATGGCTATCATCAAAAAGAGAACAAATATGCCCAGCCAGCATGGCTGAGCATCGACCTAGGATCCAGAAGATCGTTGTTCAATTCCCGGTCAGGGCACATGCCCGGGTTGCAGGCTTGATCCCCAGCAGGGGGCGTGCAGGAGGCAGCCCATCAATGACTCTCATCATTGATGTTTCTATCTCTCTCTCCCTCTCCTTTCCTGTCTTTGAAATCAATAAAAACATATTAAAAAAAGAGAACAAACAGCAAGTGTTGGCAAGCATGTAGAAAAAGGGAACCCATGTGCACTGTTGGTGGGAATGTAGATTGGTGCAGCCATTATAGAAAACAATATGGAGGGTCTTAAAAAAATTAAAGATTTAACTGCTTTATGACCCAGTGATTACTTCTGGATACATAGCCAAAGGAAACAAAAACACTACCTATAAAAAATATATGCACCCCCATGTTAACTGCAGCATTATTTACAGTAGCCAAGACCTAAAAACCACCCAAGTGTTGCCCTGGCTGGTGTGGCTCAGTTGGTTGGAGCATTGCCTGGTACACCTAAAGGTGGCAGGTTCAATTCCTGATCAGGGGACATACCCAGCTGTGGGTTTGACCCCTGGTTCGGGTGCTTGAGAAGCAACTGATGGATGTTTCTCTCTTCCTTCCTCTCTCTAAAATCACCTAAATCTTTAAAAAAACACAGTAATCTAAGTGTCCATCAATGTGTGAATGGCTAAAGATGTGATATACAAAGATATCTACATATGTACATATACAATGAAATGGTATTCAGCCATAAAGAAATCAATCCTGCCATTTGTGGCAATGTGGATGGACCTTAATGGCCTTATACTAAGTGAAATAAATCAGAGAAAGACTAATACCATATGATCTTACTCATATGTGGGAATTAAAGAAAAAAACCTGAACTCATAGACAGAACAGACTGGCGGTGGCCAGGGCGGGAGGAGGTGCTGGTGAGTTGGGTGAAGGCGGTCTAAAAGTACAAACTTGCACCGACAGGAGTCAGTCCTGGGGAGGCATGTTCAACACGGAGGCTAGTTAGCACCGCTGTACTGTGCATGTGGAAGTTGCTGAGAGAGTAGATCTTAGAAGTTCTCATAAAAAAAAGTAGTAACTGTGCGATGATCGATGTTAACTAGACACTGTGGTGATCACTTCACAATATTTACAAATACCGAAATATTACGCTGTACATCTGAAACTAATGTTACATGTCAATAGCTCAGTAAAAATTTTTTCAAAGAAAACTCTAAAAAATATGTTTTAAATAAATGCCTCCACAACTGTGTAAGTTCATAAAGGAAGCTGGAAACTTCATTCCCTCGCGCCGCCGGCCTGAG